GAGGAGTGGAATTCTCCGAAACTAATATAACCCAATAACACATGTTGATAAAAGTGTAAATTGAACTGGACCGCCCTGGAACTTAGACTTCGAGAATAAAGAATATTTTAAATACTAAGGTTATTTACTATATCTGCTATTGTGCGGCTATATAATGTGAAGAACTGAATAGTGGCCATTGACACTTTTTCTTCACTTCACCTATCCAGTGTATAGGTTTTTCTCATATTGACTACAAAGCACGTTCATACCAACAGTATATTTGATAATAATTTATATTCTATATATTGTATGGATGCAATAAATGTAATCCTTTTCATGAGCATTTCTGACTATAAGGACTATTCAGGCCTCAGAAGCAATAAGATCTTAGTGAGAAACGGACCTTAAGTCATTAGAATGTAGGCTTGATTTTTAAATGAGATGTGTTTTTCCACATCCGCAGAAATTTCATGGATTTGCTTGCATGTATCTCATTAAAAATTCACCGAGCAGTAGTTAAATACATTTTTTTTCCCCCAGAATATCCCTACAACTTTCCTGTTCAAGACTTTAGCCTTGTGAGCCAGTCCCCATTGACGCCCATGATCCACTTTGTTTTCTAATATTTAAAATATATATATAAGGTAATACATTCTAACATATCAGGAATAATTGCAAAGTCATCAGATATTATGATATCAGTTTCTTTACATTTCTTATCTGTAGTGCGTTACATACTGAAGGTAATATCCGCCAGATGTCGCTTTGATATTAAAATAACATGATTATCACTCATCTTTAGAACGGAGATATATCTAATTTATCGTCTGTTGACGTTTTGCCGAGATCGCCTAAAAGTAGAACGCGGTAAACGTTAAAGATACATATGTAAAAATCAGTTGTGGTTGGATATAGTTCTAACTTATAAAACTTTCCTCAAATTTTACAACTATAAGGTAAATATGTTTAAGTGGAGTTCTTTAAAGAAAAGTAATGTTATCGTCATTGTGCCTAATACCAATTAGTAACAGGATTATCTCTTAAACTTTTAAAGGCTCACATAATTATTAGCGTAAAAATCACATCGAACATTAGTGTTACGGCAGTCATTTCCATAGGTATTGTTTACGTAAAAGCTCAATGAAAATATGTACGAAACTACCTGCAACTTTTGCTACAATTATACATTAGAACTTTTAGTAAAAAGCAAGGTTAAAGACATCGCTAGATGTCTGCTGTAATTTTGATAAGTTTTAAGTCTTTTTTTTTTTCTCTTGCGATTGGCTTTTACTTCTACGTCACTGAAAGCAGACCTATCCTAGTCTACAAGTATAAATAGGCTTACTAAGATAACTTATGTTATAGGCCATGTAGACCAATACGGTAAATTTTAGGCCTAGGACTCGAACCTTAGAAGTTTATTTTTCTAACATTAACGTAAAGGTATTTAACAATTTCAGCTTATGTAGGGTATAAAATAGGTTTCACAAAACAAAATGGCAAGCCTGGTCCTTATCTCTTTAACCTACAGCACCACCTTGGATACTTTATCATTTATGTTGAAAATTTTTGTTTTGCTAATAGCAGAGTGATTTTATTATTCTTAGGTTAGTTACAACTCCAAGATTATACTTTTTAGCATATATTTTGTTACTGTTAATCATATCAGAGAAACATAGTAACTAATACAACTAAAGGTCATAAATTAATGCAAGTGAGTTAACATCAGTAGAATGCATCTTGAACTCAATGAGTGTAAGAATTGCGTTTACGGTCGGTGGGCCTGATAGTGATCCTAAAAAACGCCTTTATTGCTTTCAAACATACTGTTACGTCACCGTTTGTTAATTGATTTTTTTGTAACTTCGTTCCAACGAAACTTTAATGACACAAGTCTTTACTTAATAAAACTGGTTTATTCTTTCCGAATATAACTCTGCGATACACTTAATCTCAATACTCGCGCTAAAACAACACTGTAACGAACGAACGTTAACTTCAACAATACCGTGTGACTGAAGTTCAATTACTCACTG